TTCTGTGCAGTTGTGGGTAGAAAATGTAAAATTTCTCTCTCTTAGCCAGCTGGCATATCCAGCCATTTGGAATGGTTCTTGAAAACCAAAGGATTGCTGAAACATTGGCATTCATGCTAATACTTGCTTCTAAGGAAAAATTTAGTGTCAGCTCTCAGTATTGCTTCAGCCACCAACTCTGTTGTAATATGGACCACCAGCCAAATATCTGATTAAAGAACCACGTGCTTTCTCTGCGTCAATTTTATGCCACATTAAATATTAAGTTTAAAAAAACCCCTTCCATCAGTGTGGGCTGCCATGGTCTGTAAGTGTCCTCTCCGTTTACAAGCCAATGACGTGTGCCCAACTCATTACTGCTGTCGTCAGCAGTTTCCACACAGCCTGTGATTGTTACTAATTATCTGCACACGCATTTTTCTTGCTCCGACTTGCTGATTTCAGCTTGGTTGGTATCACTCTGAGAGGGTAAAGCCATGTTATGTTGACACCTTTATGTAGCTCTCCAATATGGTGCCAAGGGTGGATTGATCAACACGCAGCAACCCTGGCTGCATCTGGCAATGGAGCCGGTTTGCATTGGCAGAGCCAGGAGTGGCTGTCAGCCAGCCTCACCGAGGGGCAGAGAAGCATGATTCCCTGGAGTAGGGTCCAGTGTGAACTCTATATCACTCTATTTAAAGAAGCATCACAGGATGAAGTGTTGTCAGTGGGCTTTGGTTTGGTTCCTCTGCCAGATGTTGGAGTAGAGGAGGCTGGTCTTCTTTCATGCGGGCACATCCAGCCTTTGCTCATCTGGTCTTCCTCACAGCTTACACAGCCATGCAGGGAGAGTAAGGAATAACAACCCATAATCCTGAGAATTATGTTCAACTTTTGTAGTTAGGGAACAAAGATGCTAAAATGGGATAAATGCAGGTCAAAGGATGAGGTGTTTCTTCTTACTACTCTGCTGTGACATATAGTCCTCACCCAGCCTCTTGGTGTGTTTTTCCTTAGGGGTTCTTAGTCTCATCTGCTTTCTGACTCTTCTTTCCTCTTTGTTCATCCCACTGTGCTGTGACTGCAATTTATGAGCCAGTGTTTTACTAGGTTTTGTTGAATGGCAGATAGTATTGGTCATTTCGGAAGCTAGGCACAGTGGTACTGCAGTTAGACTGGAAACCATGCCAAAATCAGATTGTCCCTGAGGACATTAGTATTCGTAGCCACTGTGGATTCTGATGCCTTCAACAGGAGGAAAGAAGTTGCTTCTCTAAAATTCCAGTCTGATCTCTTGTCAGGATTAAACACTAATAGATTTAAGGATTTAGCTCAAGGCACGCCAAAAGGACTTCTTGTTTTTTCAACAAGAAATCGAGTGGCAGTAAGATGCAGATCACTTCCAGAAGAGTGGTAACAGATCTTTCTCAGCCTGTGGATGGAGAATTCATCTGAACAACCCTAGAAAACCTAGCATTTGGGTGAAGGGGTCTGGGGAAGCCTTCATCTCTCCACAGGTTAGAGATTAGATATTGAATTAGGACTAGACATCTACTTTTTTGCATCTACTTTTTAAAACTTTTTTTCCAAGTTAGCTGGACTAGATGAACTCCAGAGCTGTTTTCTAAACTCAGCTGTCCCGTGTTCCTGTGGCTCACACAGTTCTTCCATACTGCTAGGTAGGAGCTGTGTGTCATTGTTTTTTTGGTGGGATAATGCCCAGGGTGGCTCTAGAATGGCCTGTGGCCCATGTTACTAGGACTACTGGTGCCTTCTGAGGGTCTGCCTGTACTGGGCTGTGCCAGGTTCCTGAAAATGGAGCAGGTGGGTGAGGAAGCTTTCTCATTCATTTATTTTGCTCTCTTTGTAAGTTCAAAGGAATATTATTTAGATAGCACAAAACATAGAAGAAGAGGTGGATGTTTTGCTTTCCCATGTTTCATTTTGTTTGGGGTTGAGTTTGTTTATGTGGGGGGGGTTTATCTTTTTCATTTTTCAATCATAAAATCATTTATGTTGGTAAAGATCTCTAAGATCATCAAGTCCAACCATTAGTCCAGCACTACAAAGTCTATTATTAACCATGTCTCCAAATGCCTACATGTCATTTAAATCTGTCCACGGACAGTGACTCTACCACTGCTCTGGGCAGCCCATTCCAGTGCATGACAACCCTTTCAGAGAAGAATTTTTCTCTAATATCCAACCTAAACCTCCCCTGGTGCAACTTGAAGCCATTTCCTCTCATCCTGTTGCTTTCTACTCACCAGGCAAAAATATCAGCCTTCAAACACTTTCCCTGGGATTCTTGACCTGACTGAATTCAATGAAGGATTGTGTCCCTCTGGGAGTGGCTGGGAGAGTGTGAGGAGAAAAGGAGACACCGGTGTTGTCTAAACACCTTGGAATCTGGACTATTTATTTTTATGCCTTTGGAAGTTAGGGTACACAAGAAAAATTAAGAGTTCAGTCTTAATGGTATGCCATGAGGTGTGTACATCCAGGTGGAATATTTAACCAGTGTCATTGAGATGGGAAGTGGTCAGAGGTTGAACCCTCTGGTGAAGGTCTGGGTGGCTCCTGAAGGAAAGGCTGTTCTTCTGTGCTGTATATTGGCTGGAATCTGAGTGCTCATCCCACATTAGAACAGGCTCACAACGTCTTTCCAAGTTTCACCTTCTCTTTAATTTTTAATTTTGCCATGCTGAAGACTGAAGTTTAACTGATAAATGATGCTCGTCTTTCTCTAGTACTGTTCTGCTGTCTGGAACTGATGCTGAAAGGAGCCAAGGAAGGGATGCTTTTCCTCCTGCCTAACCCTTATTTGGTCTGCTTTTTATGGACCATTTTTGATGATCCTCTGAAACAACTAAGTATTTTTTGTGTTCAATTGAAACAATAACGTGACATTTAGAGGCAAAAAAAAAGCTCCCAATACATGACTTTGAGGAATACATGAAAAAATAGAACTTTTCTCTCCTTCATGCACACCTGATGCTTACAGTGAAGACAACTATTATTTTAAAGTTGCAGAAATGTGGTACAGAGTTGGTATTTCATTAATGAGAAGAAAATTCCCAGCCTTAATAATGCTGGGAAAAGCATTGTGAAATCTACTATTGGTGGTTCCTGGAGGGAGAAGAGGACATTTGTTTTACTTTGTGTATTGCTGTAGTCAAAAAGAATCAAGCTAACAATCTCCTATTTAGTTAATTCAGTAGTTGTAATTTGTTTATTGTCTTGAATTCAGGTCGAAATTAAGTCTTGCTGAGCACAATGGTTAACCTGGTTTCACTAGGAATCACTGTTTGTCCCTTAAATTTGCTGCTTTGTGTTTTAAGACTGACACAGAGTGAACTCTCTTTGCTGATGTCTCGCTATTTAGGAGGTCAGTAAGTGGTCATCCCTGTAGCAAGATCTCCAGGTGGAAAGGAAAAACACCTGCAGAAGGTGTCTTTTCTCATTAATTCCTGGATATAAGGTTAGTGATCCTTGTCAATGGGTGTCTGGGTCTTTCCAATGGCTATCTAGAGAATGAGGAGTGCTTAGCTTCAGTGGGACCTGTGTGGGTGGAATAGACCTGGCCCACAGAGAGAAAGAAGGATCACAAAAAAGTCCTGAAGGGAACTGTTATCCAGCTAATGGTCAGCAACAGTTTTCCAGCAGTGTTTTCACTGCTGAATGAAAGGATTTCAGTTATTTTGATTTCAAACAAAAAAAATATTTGCATTTCTAATAATAAAAAATTGTTTCAATTTATACTTCGCTTTCCAACTCTTTGAAATAAGACTTATGTAAAATTTTCACAATTCCTTCTTCCTTTTTTTTTCTCTGCTCACTCCCCTACTCCAAATCAACATGATTTTGAAGAAAGTAAAGAAAAGGTTTGGTTTTGTTGAAATGCTTTTTCTTCTGGAAAAACACTTCGATGTTTGTTTTGCTTTGTTTGTTTGTTTGTGTTGTTGTTGTCTAGTTGTAATAGCAATAATAAAAAGTCTTCTTCTGAGGCCACTATGTTTTGGTCATATAATCTGTCCCTACATAGAAATGTTGATCTGTGTTTAAATATTATCACTGACTTTAATTTCTGTGGGACTGATTTGAAGTGCAAATCAGTATTGGTAGACAGCTGGTTTCCAGTGAAGCATAATTCTAAGATTTACAGCTTAGTTTCTACATTTAATAGATAAGAGTGCAGATGCATTTTCCAATAATCTATTTGTCACTCCCAATAGGGCCTGTCATGTAAAGTCTTGAAAAAAGGCCACATAAACTTCTGTGAAAAGGCAGCCAATCTGAAAAACAAAAATGCCAGTTTTAATAATAGTACAGAATCTAAGTGCAACACTGTTGAGTTTTTCCATTTTTATGAATTCTTATCTTGACATTAAGAAAGAACAAACGCATTTGAGAAAGCAAACGAGTGCACTTGTACCCCACTAAGACCCAGGCTATTAACTGCCTCTTTTGATGATGTACAGCCTGACTCTGTTGGGAGTTTGGCTGTGGATTTAAATGTCGAATTTAACTGTGGTAAACATGTTTTGGTGCAAAGCATGTATAATAACAATTTGCATTTACATAGCATCTTTTACTTAAGGATTTTGCAATCTCTAATTAATTAAATCTTTTTCCCCCTGCCCCCAATACCACTGTGGTATGGATAATAAATACAATTTTAAATCAAGCAGTGATGGCAGGAGGATTAAGACAAGAGGTTTCTGGTGCCCCTGCGCTGCCCTGATTGCAGTGGGACTGGAGCTTGTTCTGCAAACAAGCTGAGCAGCCTTTTCTTGTGTTCTGTAATGCCCTAAAAAAAAAGGGCAGCAAACCAACTGTGCATCCATGGGTGGAACATGCCCTGCTGCATAGATGAACAGTCTTGTGCTGGTGTTTGGGTCATGCTGTAGATCTCCAAATTGGAAATAATGGAAGAAAAAAAAAAAAAAAAAGGAAGGAAAATGCTCCAATTAGCATAGATGCTTCCTAAATTGCTTTTTCTTGGCCCAGAACAATAACAAAACACCTGAGAGTGTCTGTGCAAGCCACCAAAGTGATATTTCCAGGTGAGTAGGGAGATGTGTTGGCATCTGTGCATCTGCACAAAACAAGAATAAAGTCTAATGGCAGTTTGAGTCAGGCTACAGAAATTGTTTCTAGGACAAGGTAATTGTTTTGATGACAGTGGTGGAAAACACTTCTAAAAGATATTGAGGTGCTGAAATGTGTCCAGTGACAAGCAATAGAGATGGGGAAAGGTCTGGAGAACAATTTTGATGTGGAGTGACTGAGGGAACTCAGGGGGCTAGGTGGGAGCAAAGGAGGCTCAGATGGGATCCTCTCACTCTCTAAAACTCTCTTACAGGAGGATTGGAGCCAGGTGGGAGTTGTGCTCTGCTCCCAGAGAACAAGTGACACGATAAGAGAAAATGGTCTCAAGGTGTGTCAAGGAAGGTTTAGGTTGGATATTGGGAAAATATCTTCACCAAAAGGGCTGTCCAGCCCTGGCACAGGCTGCCTAGGGCAGTGGTGAGCCCTCTTTCCTGAAGGGATTTAAAAAACATGTTAATATGGCATTTGGGGGCATGGTGGCCTTAACATTGCTGGAAAGTGAGTAGAGGGAATGGTAAAACAAAGATCATTCCAGGGCACCCCTTGGCAATGGAGAGCATGCCACAGGTACTCTTGCTGTCTGCCATCTGCTCACACCGTCCTACTATGCCCCTAGAAATTGCAGCATGCCTTTTTTTTTTAATCTAGGAGCAATCTGGGAGAAATCTAAGAGAAACTTTAAAGGATTCAAGACAGAAAAGTTTCAAAGTGTAAAGTGTTCAAAATCCTTTAATGTTTTAATGATGATGCAGCATATTTTGTGAGGAAAGCTCTTGCTTATTATCTCTATTATATTTTTAGAAAGAACTCTTCCTGTAATGCTGTCCTTGGAAAAGACTGTGTTAGTTTTGAATAGGGATTTTATAAACCTAGTTGGGGCTTTTTTTTTTTTTGGTAATGGACCATTGTTTCTTCTTGACTTTGTATTATATCAGGCCAAAAATGTGTGAACTTCGGGTTTTGGTATAATCTCTCATAATAATGTTAAACTGTAATTTAAAAAAAGGGAAAAAGCAAAAAAGAAAAACATCACTGGCACTCAAAATATGAGCTGCCTGTTTTTGAGCTGCTTAATGGAACTGGCACATCTACCAGCATGAAGAATATTGTTTGTGGAAATCCCTTGAGAATCAGCATGGACAGGAAATGCCTGTGCTGCCACAGACTTGACACCTAGCTTGGGATTTTCACAAAGAGGTGGCTGAAAACTGAATTCAGTTAAAAGACTGAAGGGAGTGTCAGGGTCCCTCTGGAGCTTTTCTTTTCATCCTACATTCTTTGCAACAATCTGAATTCCTTGAGCTCGGCAGCCCTATGATGACACTGTACCTGTTTTTTTGAGCACTAGCTCCTGAAAAAAGGCTTGTGTATCAGCAGTATTCCTCTAGAGAGGGGTCATATAGGGGTTATCCCCTCCCCAGCAAACTTCATCTCTGGCAGTTGTAGGTTCAGACCTGGCAGCCTCCCCACATGTGAGGATTCTCTGTGGGAAGGATGGTCCTGGACTGTTGGTAATTAAGGATTGCAGGAGGAACTAGGGCTTGGAAGAGTGTGGTGTGAAGGCAGCAGATGCTGCTGCAGTTGTGCTAGTTGCAAAGTCCAAAAGATGAGATCCTGGGAGATGTGGATGAGACTTGCTTTGTTAGCAAATCAGACTTTTGGTGCTAAACAGAGGCCTTGGTTTTGCACTTTCTGTCTTTGTTAATAATTATGGAATACGGACAAATCTGTTCCCAGGCACTGATGTAACCCTGAACAGGTCTGGTAGCTGTTCACAGTGGACCTGTGTCCAATGCTGCCTTACCTGCCTGTGCTAGCCAGTACAGGCAGTCCTAAATGTGTGCATATCTGGTGCAGAGACAGACAAGCTAGTGGGATAGGCACTCGATCAGGGCAAAACTTGAACTGATCTTGCTGAGCCAGGGCTTTGCCCAGCCTAGTCCAGGTGACAGAGTTGTACATGGCCCCAGAGTTGTCTGGAGAGCATTGCCCATCTTTCGCTGTGGAACTGCACTGGGGTTGGTCATCACAGGAATGAACGAACACGGGCAATAACCAGTGTGACAGGAACATATGGGGCATGCATCACATATGCTGCACATGTGCAGGGTGAAGAAGTGCAGGACTGTGCCTTTGGTATTTGTGCCTTTGCCTGCTGCTGCTGAGATCACCAGGAGGTGCCCCCTGCATTCCCACATTTTGTTCCAGACCATTCCCATGGCTTCGTCCACCCTAGAGTGACCAGTGTTAACTCTGAATTCAAATAGTTGATCATGAGAGGTGCAGGTAGCTGCTGTTATCTCCCACTGTGGGGATGCACAATGCTGCAGGAGGCACATTGGATCTTTTTGGGGACATGTAGAGGTGGGATCACCACCTCATGGCTAGGTGCACCCTTGTTTATTGTGTAAGGTTTCACTGCTGCTTAACAGGCTTGAGCATGCAGTGCCACAGGCTGCCTACTCAGGAGAGAAATTTTGTCCATGTTCTGCTGGGGTGTTCACTACGTTCAAGTCTTGGTATCAGCTCAGGCTTTAATGAAAGAAGCTCTTAAGATCTGAGGACAGTATCAGTGGGCCCAACTATGACATAGATAAAACAGCTCTGTGATGCTCCTTGGGTGCGATACTACCTCTCTGCCTTGATCAGTGTGTGGTAGACAGTGGTTCCTGTTCTTATGCTTGGTCCCTTCAAGTAATGCAAAACCACTGCTTCTGTGTGTCACCCTCATCTGAGGGTTTATAGACTGCAGGGTTACCTTTGTGCTTTCCTCTGCAAGGCAATGCCTGCAGACCCTAGGCAAAGCACTCCCTTTCTGTGGCAGCTGCTCTGAGGTCCCTCAGATGGGTGCGTGTCCCTCTGATGGGGGCGTGTCCCTCCTGCTGAGGAAGAGTGGACCTGCAGTCCCCACATTGCTATGAGGATGGTGCTCCACCAGAGCCAGCTCGTATGCTCACCAACATTCCTCTGGCCCACTACATGGCACAAAGGGGTTGTATGTAGCAGGGACCAGCAGTGGACCCACTGGGGTGGTAGGGACACTTGGCAGCTTTGCTCAGCGTCACATATGCCCTGTGGAGAACAGAGCAGTTCTGCCCCCATCATCAGAAGTGCTGTCCTGAAGGGACTCCTTTCTCTGACCTTTCTAATTATTCCTGTCCAATCTTTCTTCATGTTTTCTTTTAATTATTTTTCCCTTTCTTCTCTCCCCCTCTTTTTTCCCCCTAAAACTCCAGCACTCCTCTCCAGTGTATTAAGAATGTGAGTGAAATTGATGGCTGGAACGTTTGAAGTCTTTATGATGATGAATGACTTTCAATGCCAAAGCTTTTATTGTCTCTGATTTGGGAAGAAGGGGAGCAGATTTATTGTGACCAACTGTCATGCCATTTAATACAGTGATAAATCCTGATGCCATGATGGGCACCGGGAACCTCCTCTGGCCACTCTTCTACCCTGCTTTTGTCCCTGCTTGACATCCTCAGCTGGGGAGCAGACAACGAGAAATGTGAGCTGTGAACTCCCAGGTGGAGGGTGATGGCCAAGGACAGGGCAAACCCTGAGTGTCTCACCCAGATTCAGGCTGGCTGCAAATCCCCTGGTTCTCAGGATGGGTGGAATGCCCCATGGTCTTGGGCACCACTGCAGCATCCCCCCATTTGTGGTACTGGTACTCACAGGCTGCTTCAGTCCTGCATTAATGTGGCAGAAAGGGAAACTCCTACTGTGGCTTGGAGCAAAATCCAGTTCCCCATATTTCCTCTGATCTGAACTCACTGGAGGTTGCTTCCCATAAAGTAATCCATATATGTGTTATTTTCTGAACTACCTGGTGCATCAGTTGAGGTACACATCTGACTATGTTATGAGAGATGATGTCTACTCACCAGGCAGCTTGGAAAGAGGTGGGACTTGGGAATCTAAACTTGATCCTGCTACTGCACAGAGCAGATGAAAAATCAATTTGTCTTAAAGTGATTTCAAATGAGATGTTTCAGGTTCCTTCAACTAAAGAGAATAAAATTTTTCAAACTTGACAACTGAGAATATTTAATGGAAAATACTGAAACCCAAGTGTGCCAATATTTCAATGGCTTCACTATTTCCATCACAGAATCCAGTATAGTGCCTGATTTCAACTTTTCAACTTATTCCAGGTTAAAAAGAACATTACAGATATATCAGAAAAATATTACATGGCTTGTTGATCTGGACTTTGTTGAACCATAATTAGGATGTTAAAATCTAGGGTGTAGATATTTTTCTTCTGGGTAAAAAACTGCCGATGACATTAGCAATGATGCTTGGATTGGAAATGTCTCCATCTCAGATTAATTCCAGATGCAGATCATAAATACTGACTCTTGTGAGATGAAGATATCAGTATGAGTTTAGTGTTGCTGCAAAACAGATTGGTGGAAGCTGTTGGGTTTTCTTTCCTTCCACGCTTGTATAGCAAGTTGAATAACCAGCTGTCAATATGCTCACGTCTTCCTGTCCCTGGATGCACCAGTAGGCTGCCAGGTTGTGCCCACCCATGTCAGTGTTGACAGGGCTCCCCTGCATGGGAAGGTGCCTGTATGCATGGGAGCAGGTGGGACAGTGAAGCCCTGGGTTGCCTGGCATGTGGCCAAGTGCGCACAGCCCCCAGCACTCTGCTGCTGTCCCAAGCCTAACTGGACATGCCACAGCCCCAGGTGGCGATGCAACCTGCCAGCACAGTGCCGGTTATTAGGGTGGGCACTGCTGAGGGGTTTCACTGCTTCAGTTTGGGACTAAAGAGATTCCCACCGAGGCAGGTTTGCATGGTACCTGAGCTTCTCCTCCTGCTCTCACTGCTTCCAAAGGCCCTCTGGATGTCACTGCTGTCCTTTGCAAGGTTTCTGAAAACCTATGTCCTCCCCTCTTGCCTGGTTGCCTGCTTTCCCCAGCCCACACAGGTGGGGAGCATGAG